AGTGTTTTCCACTGCTCCTCAATGTTTTGCAATACATCTTACCAGAATATTTCCCTCATTCAGTCTCTCGTGCCTCCGTAGTGCTCTCTTATTACATTGCTGCTGGAAGCTGGACTGCTGCTGTGTGTCTCTGCAGAACTAAGCCACATAAACAAGCTGCGGGCAGAGAAGGCACAGCAGAACAGACAGGAGGGTGAGTGCATTTTGGCTGCATTCACTCAGAATCCTTCCTGCAGGGCTGTAAGGAGGTGTGACCATGTTTATATGTGCTTCAGAAAGCAACCAATCACAAAACAATGTTTTATTTCTCTGATTCATGGCTTTATTCTTGCTGAGGCCGCTCACTCTCTTTTTTCACATGCTACCTCGGTTGTCCACCGTCGCTCACTCTCTCTCAGTGTAGTGGATGTAGGACAGGCAGTGAAATTTTGGCACAAAGATCAAAAGAACAGCTCTCATGTATGACTCTGATCTCTTCCTTCCAGTTGAAAAGAATTGCATTGTTTGCGAACATAACACAGGGCCTGCTAACAGAAAACATATCACTATAAGGGCTGATGCAATTACATCCCTTTCTGTCTCACTGCTCGCCCCCCTCCCTGTCGTAGCCGCTGAACTAGCCCACTGTACAGCTGTCTTTTCCAAAGGAGTTGCTGACATTGTTGGCCTGCTGTACATTCAACTGGAACATATCTCTTGATCCCAAACTACCTTAAGCAGTCAACCATTTTATCCATGATCTTAGAGAAAACTGTGTCTGCACCAACAGATCCTCTTAGAGAAGTGATCATCTGTGACTGCCTACTACAACTCTTAGAAGACTTTGAGGACCTGACACACACACACAGTTTTTGTTTAGTTAAATCTGACCAGTTTAACTTTACATGGCATAATGATACTGCTCAGACAAGAATGAAACCAGGGCCCATTTTTATCAAGTGTCTCAGAATCACTTATAGGAATTGAGCAGAACACTAACATAGGACTAAAAAAGTCCTACCTCAGAGTAGGACTTAAAAGTTATTTATGAAGCATCCTACTCTCTCTCTCTCGCAGCAAGGAGAACAAATATGACATCACTGTATTACGACAGTCAGTGCCACATTATACTGACGTGTTGTAGTTTTTCTGACATATCAGAAATCATCATTCTGATATCAGTGCCACTTGTCAAGTGAAGGTTTTATGTCTATAGACGAGAAGCAGGTAACAGAAAATAACATGTTATTTACCAGGTTTTATACCAATTCTCCTTCTACAATAGCCTGAAAGTTTATTGGAAAGCTGCTCATAATGTGACTGACGTGTGAAATTATCTTTATCAGTCCAGTTTTTTCTAATTCCCTAGAGATCATGGAACACATAGTTCACAGCTGTGAGAATGTTTTCGAGTCACAGAAGCGTCTTCGTTAGTGCCCAAGGTGATGTGTGTGCATGTTCAAGGAAACTGGTGAGTTATGTATTTGTAGCTTTTTTTTTACTAATTAACAGAGAGTGTGAGTGGAGTGGAAAAAACAGATAAGTGCATTATCAGTGGAGTAGTAAGAGCAATGGAGGTCTCATTTATTACTGTAAGGCCATAACAGGAGGCTTTGACAGACTCAAATCATCACTGTTGCTGCACCTGCTTGGTAATAAAAGGTGTAGGCTAAAGATTCAACAATAGCAGTTTCAGTGGAGACAACATGTGGTCTTCCTTTTGTTGGAGTAACTGCATCTTGCACAAGCTCTGTCACAAAAAAATCCACTTATGGCCAAATTGTATCTTTTAATGAGGTCAGCATCAAGTCAAACATCTCTCTTCCCGCTGAGTCTGTGTGCTAATCTCTGTCTGAATGCCACCTCCTGGTAACTCCTAATAAGTTAGGACACCTCTGAAGTTGTCCTACATTTTGGTGGAGATGGGAGTGAGTTCCTAAGATAGGAATACTGATAAATTACTCTTAGTTCTACTCCTAAAAGTAGGGCCAAAATGTGTCATTCTGAGAAGTTTTGACCAGTTAGGAGTGAGTTCCTATTCTGAGGTGCTCGATAAAAGCAGGCTCAGGTAAAATTAGACTTCTGGTTAACAATCAACCAAACCAAAGCCAAGTCAAATGCTATGCCAACAGCAAATAGCAGCCAGTGGCGGGTTCAGAAATAGATAATCACAATTTCTCTTAGACAAAACCAGTTTGACAGGGTTTGGAGCCAATCAGTCCACAAGTATACTGTCTGTCCACAGAGCCATAATCACAAGTCTGAATATGAAAAGGGTGTCAAAATCACAGCCACAAAGTTGAGCAGACAATAGTGGGCTAACTAGAAAAGGACAGAATCAAACACAGATTAAGAGGATTTTCCCCCTGTCATCCAGCCTCTCGTTCTCAAAATAGACCATCTAATTCCTCCACATCTTGTCATCTGGGCCCCATGTGGAGAACAAATTACCATTTTCCAGAGTCACAACTCTATTCCATGGTGTAAGGAAGATGAAAAGATTGTAATCCTTCTCTCAGGAAGCATTAGGCAGGACTTCCAGTGGGGTTGTTACATTTTCCCATGAAATGAAGGTCAGACTTTGAGTACATTTAGTGAACGCTGATGTTGTGAAAGACAAATTCATACAGAGCCTTGGGATAACAACAGGACTGTCTGGTGCCATATGCAACAGTTGGCCTGTTTAAAATCTCTTATACAAAATGACTGCTTCTCCATATTTGACCACACAACAACATGTGCACCTTTAATAAGTTAAAAATACAAACTACTTTTTACTAATCAGCAGAGATTAGATCCAAACAGTGACTATCTAAAACATAGTGCAAATGTAAATGACTTGGACCAGTGGAAATGGCAGCCTGCCTCTTTGGCTCTGTTGTGTCTGAAAAGGAAACACTGACATCAAGTGGCCAGATATATTATTACAGATACCCAGACTACTACACAGTACAGCCTAAACCACTTTTACAGCTACACCACCACACTGATTAGTGTGTCTTAACTAATTATTAAAAAGTCAGTGTTAGCATTAGGTCACAAAAATACAAACAACTGAATTCTATTACTTTTTTTTCAAGAAGCCATTTTACATTATATTTAACTTTCATACAATAAAAATAGATATGACACAGTTCCCAAATATTGATATATATATATGTGTGTGTGTGTGTTTGAGTGTGCACATATATAGATATATAGGTAGATAGATAGATATATGTAGGTTTGAGGTTCATTGCATGTCTGATGCAAAGAAAAACAAACTTGCATACCTTTGAACCTGTAATGCTTTTTAATGCTTTTTTGCCATTAGAAATAATAAAAGCCATACAATGTAACAAATTAAAAATTACAAAGCTCTATACAGGCACAGAAGCTCATTCACACACATTCTACAATCAAGACTAATCTATCAAAGTGGGCAGATTCCACTTGTTTCCATGTAGGAAAATATGGCTGACATTCAGTTAGAAGACAAGGAAGTCCTCTTTTCTCAACGAGCATTTCATAGGCAAAAATATAGACTCTTCTATCTCATAAGCTGAGTCAAAACACAGTTGTCAAATAAAAAACTGATGACAACTATCTAGAATAAGTGTAGATACTGTGTACAGATTACAGTCAGCAGCATTAAGGTAACAACTTGACTTGAGCATGCAGGCTAATAAATAATAGAACATTCAATCACATATAAAAGCCCAGTAAGTGCTTATTTTATTTTTTTTATTTATTTTTTTTGAAGAAGTACATTTGAGTGTAGGCCCAAAAACTAAGCACTATCCAATGAGTTTATATGATGCTGTCAACTGATGCTACAGAAAGGAAATGCAGTGTGTGCATAGTCAGTCCTTGAATGGGAATTTAAAATGAACAAAAACAAAACTAATTTCTTAAGAAAATTAACATTGCAATTTAGTTCACGCTCTCAGTAATTCTTGTTTACCCTTCAACGTGCCACAATCACAGCTAAAACACTGTATTAGAATAAAAGTGGTTACTTTGTTATGATCATTCAACACCACATGAGGGCAGCAGCTACCTACTGCGCTGTTTTTTCATTTAGGACAAAATGTCCCATGCTATGAATCAAAGCTCCCTCCCTCCACACACACACACACACACACACACACACACACACACAATGATGATATGAAATGGGTCTGTCAACATTCTTACTGTATCTTGTCTTTTTTATAGGAACACACTGATAATATTTAAACATGTACTAAGTGCTAAACTTGGGTAAATTATATTCTGATGGGTTGAAATTAATACAACAATTACTGGCAATATTTCTGAATAACTACAATTTGGACTTTAGTGACAACAAAGCTTCATACACACTATGCCCCTCTCTTGAGGAAAACAATGTTAACACGAGAAGTAACGGTGTGTAGAAAAAGGAAAAAAGAAACACATTCAAAAACAACAGTGATACACTTTTAAATGCACACACTTTAAACCTTATATATGTCAATGTTTTTGACTCTAGCCAAAATAAAAAGCCATCTTTTCTTCTCAAGTTCCGTAATCTTGATGTATACTTTATGATACATGTATACAAGATAACATAGAGCAACAAAGCAAAAAAAAATTTAAAAAATAAAAATAAATATTTTAAGTTACTGGTAGTGTGAGTGTTAACAGGTTGGGCCTGCTGATGCAAAAAGCTTCTTTCTTGGCGCAAACTTTCAACATAGAAACCTGAAAAGCAGTATAGCATGACGACACTTTTCTATAAAGCTCGCCCACATAAAACAATTTGGCCCTTCAGTCATTAGAGTAATAGTGAGGCTGACCAGAGGATGGTGACCGACAGGAAGCTCGTCAAAACGATCAAGAGACTTGATTGTCGATGATTCAGTGGCCTTCTTACTAATGTTCAGATACAGGGAATCTACAAAAAAAAACCCAGGTGTAGTCAGTTTTGTCTGACATTTGCATCTTTAGCTACACTACTACATCTAAAAGGGAAGGACCAGTGGAATTTTGGAGTACGACCTCATTTTAATGTTTGGCTATTTGCAATTATATGACAACCTGGATAAGCTTTAGCTTCCTTTTCTTAAAAAAGCTCTGCATTGCAAAAAACGTCAGTCACCAAATGTTATCTAGAACAGTTCTGCTCATAAAGCAATGTAGAATATTTACATAAACCTCACCAGCTGCAAAAATGTCTGAAAACAGTTTGCAAGATGGCCACGATGCAGAATTGACCTACAGTATCAGTACATACACAAAGAAACAGTTCAGTATTTTTGATTAAGCAGCCATATTTGTTTTACAAAAGATCCCTCTGACAGTGGCGCACTTTACACGCCCTGACTACTTTTTTAAAAATCTTTGGTTGACCAGGCAAAAGCTTGATAGATTTACAATCCACATGTACATGACTCAACTTGACTTTTTCTTTAAAAAAATAATAAAAATGAAACAATTGCAAAACAAAACCATTTGCACACATAATTTTATTCCCTCTTTCCTGTTAACGAGTTACCCTGCTAGGGAGATTAACATCACCTCCCATCCCACAATCACACACAGCCACGCCCTTCCTGCACATTCTCTGGTCCATTCTGGTGTCCATCCAAGAAGAAAAGCACAAGCACACACACAACACACACACACATGCACAGATGCTGCCTTCTTCTTCCTCATTCACTTATACACACAAACACACACAGGCACACATTTGCTTAAAGGTAAAAGAGCAGGAAACATAAGGTGACGCAGAATGCTAAATGCTAAATTGTCCAAACCAGAAAGTGTCTGTAGTTAAAAGAAAAGGAAATAACCAAAGGTATGTTTTTAAAAAGCGCCAGGGTTTGCTGAAGGTTTTCACCGTTTCTGCGAGGCAATCATTTTTGAGACGAAGTTGACGATGGCACTGGCAGGCTGGACAGGGTCCATCTCAGCGAAGAGGTGGCTGACATTGTCAGTTGTGCTTCCCTGCTTACGTGCCACAAACCCAAACAGTCTGGAAAAACAGAGTTACAGATTTGCTCACTAGGGCTACTATATCAAATATGTAAATCACATTAAACTGAGCATTTATTTAAGCACATGCCAACAGGCAGAGCAAAGTTCATACTGTTCTGATGTACTGTTAACCATAAATCTTAAGTAAATAAATCACAGTGATACATACAGAAATTCAAAGTTAGCTCCTAGGTGAACAAACATGTTCAGACGGTATTGCTCTCTTTTGCTCATCAGAATCAGCAATAGGTTGACATTCCATTGAAGCCTCCAACAACTGAAAGGTTTGCTTACCTGGCTGTGCCTCCCTCAGGCTTGTTCCACCTGAAAATGTTTGATAAAAGGTTTACATTAATTTTAAAATCTTAAAAATGAAAAATAAATACCATATGTGGATTAGCTGCTAGAGGGAGATAGGCTGTATTCACATTACAGGTTTAAATGCAAGATCACATCTGAGTCACTTGGAGGGAGCAAATGGATTTAATGTGAATACAGATTTATGATCTTCATTTTACTGTTTAAGTCTCTTGGAAGTCATCGGTTTCACAAATGAAAAAAAAAACTAAAAGAAACCACTGCTAGTATTTTAAGGAATCAGTATCTTGTATCTGCACTCACTTTCTGTCCTGAGGGTCAATATCACAGAACGTGACAGTGTTGCTAGGATAGTGGCGTCGGAAGAAAACCCTACAACAGAAGAAATCAACACAGAGAAAGCAGAAACATCAAAAACAGTGGACACATGCATTTTGTGGAGCAGGAGATGTTGTAAAGCACATCGAAACAGGAAACTGATCAGCAGATCACTGCCATAGTAATTTCATCTTAGGAGTGATGCTCTTCATTCTCAGGTGAGGTGGGGGCCCTCCACTAAAAAGGACCTTGGGAAACTCTGTAATACTGGATTAAGGGGCTTGTTAATAACATACTTGCTGAAATCTTTATTACATTTATCACTTATTAATTTATTTAATTCTTTTGTGGGGATTTTATACAGTTATAAGTTGGCAACCAGCTACTAAAAAGATGACAGGAAATAAGGAAGCAGGAAGTGCAACAAAGGTTGATTATTAACCAAAATACACACAGATACTGAAAAAAAAAACAAAGAAAAAATCAACTGGACTAGGTTTCTATGTCGAAGACGTTTCACCTCTCATCCCAGAGGCTTCATCAGTTCTGACTGACTGGTGTTGAGCCAGAGATATTTATCCCCCTCGTGGTGTTTCAGTCCTTTGAAGGCCAACAATGTCCCTTAACGACTGAGTGGTTCCAGCCCAGTATCGGTGAGAGTCGTTACCTGTCTTTGAATCCTCCCCTGTGGACCAACGCCTATTGTTCTAGTGGACATGTTTGGGCTAAGATCTCAAAACAGGATTGTAGATAGATGACAAGTTGTGTCTTAGTCCACCGCCCCTATTTAGTGAGGGGGGGTAAATATCTCTGGCTCAACACCAGTCAGTCAGAACTGATGAAGCCTCTGGGATGAGAGGTGAAACGTCTTCAACCTAAAAACCTAGTCCAGTTGATTTTTTCTAAGATTTTTCATCTTACTATGACCTGGATGACTGAGAATCTGCACAGACATGTACACAGACACGGATTCATCTGATCTTAAATTGGCCAATAATTTTGGCCTCATGCATACAGATATATCTGTCAGGCTTTACTTGTAGTATGATTTAGTTTCTAAAAGATAGCGGGGTTTTTTTCTATCCTGGCACCCTAAGCAAAACAGACATGGCTTCTTTAGCAATGTACTGTAATTAGGCCCTAATCATTTAATCCAGACATTTAGTGCCTCTAAATGTGTGCAGTTTTTCATGTTGGCACTTGGAACTCACAAACAAATTTATCTCTTGAAACGTGTTCAGACATCAAGAGCTCATGTCTGCAGTAAAATCTCTGACTGTTGCACAATGTTTACACTTGTGAGCCATCCTTGATTTGATTTGATTTGATTTGATTTATTCTTTCAAGCATGTAAAGACAGTTGATATGTCAACACACATATCCAACAAATGCTAATCCAATAACAATTTGCTTATACCTAGTACATGCTTGAATGGAGTAGGAAGAAGTCAGACTTATCCAGTCCTACCCCATGACATCATCTTACCATCATTGGTTTGCAAACAGTATCTCTACAACTTCTAGCCCAAAGAAAATAACTCTGGTAATGTCATCAGGGTTATCCCAGAGTTTTGAAACTACAAATTTGCGACAGAAAGCCTGTTATTAACTGGGGACATGGACTTTGAAAGACGTGTAGTATGTGTCAAATCCATACAGTATGCACTACTGTACATAGCCCCTCCCACTTGAGTGCAACTCCTCTGTTTATCTTTTGCAATGCATTATTTGATTTGATTTATTTATTCTTTCAAGCATGTAAAGACAGTGGATATGTCAACACACATAATTTTACACATATCCAACAAATGCTAATCCAATATCAATTTGCTTATACCTAGTACATGCTTGAATGGAGTAGGAAGAAGTCAGACTTATCCAGTCCTACCCCCTGACATCATCTTACCATCATTGGTTTGCAAGCAGTGTCTCTACATAGATAATTTTGTTCTACACCACACAAGTAATATATTAAAGAATTATTACAGAGTATTAACATTCATACACCACACCCACAATGTTCCATCTAATTAATCATTAAGCCTGTTCTTGCTTATATCTTGATTGACACATACCTTTATATTTATGTTTAAACTTGTCAATTCTATTACTATTTTTTATGTCCGCGCTTAAATTATTCCATAGTTTTACCCCACTTATGGAAATACACAATCTTTAGCTCCCCCAATTTTCAATTGAAGTTCATTATCTAGTCTACGATTCCCAAATACCATAAATTTAGTTTTATCCAAATTCAGAGATAGTATATTACTATCACACCATTTCTTTATCTTCTCAAGTTCCTGTGAAACCCGTCCAGAGAGTTGCTGTAGGTTTTCACCCGATGCCCATATGGTAGTGTCATCAGCAAACAAAACCACTTTCACTAAATCAGAAACCTTGCATATATCATTAATGTATAGTATAAATAATTTAGGTCCCAAAACAGAACCCTGAGGCACTCCACATACAATATCCAGCTCACTCGATTGGTATTCACCCAACTTCACAAATTGACGCCTCTGTGTCAAATAACTTCTAATCCATTTCAGAACCATTCCTCTGATCCCATATTTTTCTAACTTACACATTAATAATTCATGATTGATTGTGTCAAATGCTTTTTTTAGGTCAATAAATATCCCCATCGTGTATTTCTTCTCATCCATAGCACTTGTAATGTCCTCAATCAGGTCAGTAATGGCCAAAGATGTCGATCGGTTCGACCTAAAACCGTATTGGCAACCAGAGAGTATTTTATGTTTGTCAATAAATGTATCTAATCTGTTATTCCTTCAAACATCTCAGCTTTGTGCACAGGGCATCCAGACTTACTTCCTCTGGTTGTCAGTCAGTGTGATGCCTTGTGAAGACACCTTGAAGTGCACAATGGTGGCAGCAGGGGGAGAAGTAGCAGCCAGTGTCTCGGATATGGCCTTGGCAACAGCCTGAGGACCTGTGAGGGACTCCATCTCCACTGAGTTGATGTAGAGCACATTGCATGCTGGGAAGAGAATAAAAAAGCATTTATATCAAGAGAGGTAAAAATTTCAAAAACAACTGCAAAATAAAGCCAGAATTTTAGAACTGTATTGAAAATGAATCCTGTAAAAATAGTACTAATGACTATTTAGGCAAACACTATTGCCAGTGACCCGTCCATGCATGAATGTCTTCTCATTACCCAGCATGCTTTCTAGGCCAAAGGTGGGGTCAAACAGTTTTATAAACAAGTCCATCCAAATCATTCCACATAAGACATTCGGCCTGTTATGGAGCCTAATGTTAAAAGACATTCTTAGGGAATCCTGTTAATCAGAGCCATTTAGTTTGCCCTTGTTTTTGCAGGTGACAACATTCACAGACAGACAACAAACACAGAAAGCACATTCCAGATGTAGGTTTCCAAATAAAAGTGCACAGGTTTTACCATGGGAATCAGCAGGGGCCCTCTGCACTGTGATCACAAGGACACCATGTTGTCAGAATAAGTGAATAGGGTGATTCAGGACACATTATTAATGTTGTGATTAATGACCTAGATCTTAAACCTAGATTGACTATATTTACATTCCCAAAAGTGAGAGTGATATAAAATGCAAAGAATGGACTTTTAACAATGACAGTGAGTTGATGTTTTACCTGCTCCTTGTTTCAGCTGTTCAGCCTGTGGATTCGTTGTTGCATCCTCTGGCGCTTCCTCAATGAGATCTGCATAAAACAACACAAAGAGGAAGCTTACAGTTTGGGCATAATGCTTTAATTGTGACTTTAATTTAGCTGCTCTGGGAACTCAGTGAACATGCAGATGGATTTCAGCAGTGGCGGGGAACATAGACACTCCCACTAGCCACTTTTGTGGGTATTTAATTGTAGTCTTCTCAGCAATAGAAATAGTAATAGAAATAATAAACTAATTTCAATGTTAGACTACAACACTACAACTCCTATGAGCACTATCTCCACACAGTGTTTGCTCATTGGTCCATTCATGAAGCCTATTGCCTTGTGTTTGTACACTAGTGACCGACAACACACAATACTGTAAAGAAGAAGTCCTTGTGGAGAACATGGTAGAGATGTGAATCAGAGGAGCTATGTGGCAGTACATAAAAGGTGTAAGGAAACCTGGAGAGAAGGCAACACAAGAGAAAACCTGAAGAAAGACATCACAAAGAAAAAGAAAAGACAGTTCAACAAAACGTGGAGGTCAGGTCAGAGTGGCTGGTATATCATCTCGCTAAAACAAATTATGTACTGCACTGATTGTAGGACGTACAGCACTGAAAAGGTGAAGGGGGACTTAGGCGGTTGGGGCAAGTAACCGGTCTTATACTTGTATAGAGCTTTTCTATGTATCACAGCACACACAAAGTGCTTTCACATTATTTGCCCATTCATTACTGCTCTCAGTGTCTTGCTCAAGGACACTTGGACATGTGCACTGGAATCCAACCACCAACCTTCCAGTTAGAAGACGACCCGCTCTACCTCCTGAGCCACAGCCACAAAGCAATTTCAAAGTTGAACCTATAAAGGACCATGAAATGTCTGCTGGTCATATTGGTGACTAAATGGGCGAAGACGGCTGGTTTGCTACAAGCCAGTGTGGTGGTGAAGTCCCTGGTCCTCATGAAGTCGACTGAGCTTGAGAAGATGGGGATGCTGTTTTGGAATGCACACGCTATAGGAAAGAAAGGTCAACCCTTCACAGACTACATCTGGATGTGCAAGTAAGCATTGTGCTTGTTAATTAAAGTTTGAGAAAGCGAGGTTAGTCTAACAACTTAATAAACTGCATGTTTTCATAAAAAAGGAGCTTTACATACAACCTTATCAGAGCTAAATATCTGATAATGACCTATAGTGTAACATATTTTATGTCTTGATTTGGGTGAGTACAGTGGTCATTTACATTTAAAAGGGTTGTAAATCATATAAAATGTAATTTCCCAATAACAAAACTGGGGTCAATGAAAATGCAAAGTGACTAGTAACTTTGGAAAACCACTAGCCACAGTGGCTGGTGAGCAAAAAAGTTCATGTCAAGTCCTGAAACCAGCACATTTCGATGCACTGACCTGTGGTAGGGATGATTAGTTTGCAGGGCAGGGCCAGCGGTGTGATAGCATGTTGGTAGACCAAGGCAGAAAGGCAGCCTGCCAAACAGATAGAACACGGGTTTATCCATCTTAAACATTCCTTGAACATCACCTTTAGAGAGTGAACTCCTAGTGTCCCTGTATCTTCTATGTTTGTAGTACTTCGAACCTCCTTTGACCAGTGTCAACCAGTGTAAACAATTTCTGTATCATTGCTTTTGTTTGCTGCTACGTTCTTATGTAAGTGTACTATGAGTGTATTTAAGGACATCATAAACAAATGGTGTTGTGTCTATGAACTGGCAAATTTCTAGTTGAGTCTGATGCTTGAAAAAACATAACTATTTATTAGTTTCTGGTTTTACTGATTGTGATGTATTGCTAATATTTCACAAACACAAAAAATGTAACATTTTAAATCTTTCTTTGTAACTTAGCATTAAATATCTTTGCCAGCATTGATATATGCACATCTATAATTAACAAATATATCTAATATATATATAAGTTATAATCTCATTAATGTAATCGTGACTAAAGAAAACATACACATTCATGTGCAAAGGTTCATCACTTTGCATCCAAACACATCATACCCTATCATGGTGAATGAAAAAAGTATTAGTAATGTAGAACTAACATACAAGATGCCATCATCCTATTCGTATTTGTAAAATAATACATATAAGTAAAATAATATATAAACAAAACAAGCAGCAAATGCACATTAAGGAAGAGAGTCCTGAGCTGAGTTACTGTATGAAGTGAAGAGGGAGCAGAAGAACCAAACAAGAAACAAAACAAGGATATCAGTATACAGAAGCCTGCTTTTCCCATTTTGGATTTGAAAGGGGATGGATGTATAGTGCACACACACATAATCCAGCCTTGCAGCATAATTAGTAGGGAGAACACGAGTTAGATCCCAGTCAGTACTATAATTACAGTAGGATTAGACATTATAGAACATGGAAAGGACAGACGCACAGGAAGGAACAGGAAGGGGAACTAATGGTTTTGCCTCCAAGCTTTTTACTATTACTGAGCTGTTACTATGAGGTGGGGCAGCAGACTCTCACTAACCAAAGTAAGGCTCGTTGGGACAACCCTTCAGCTTCACTCCTTTAGAGCTGCTCTCGATCAGGAAGTGCCTCACTAGCTCGTTGGTGATGTCACCTAGAGCAAAAGAAAGGGAGATGGGTGAGTGAGTCTAAGTAACAGCTGATTAACCTGGAGACATCACCTCACATCTTAGGTATTAAGGTTACTATCTTTATTTCTACCTCCACCCTGACCTAAAACCAGGAGAAGGAAAAGCTACATTAAACACTAGAGTAGCCAGATGAAATACTTGTTCTATTTGGTAAGTGTTTCAAAATATCTAATCATGCAACCACAATCGTACCCCCTACCTTTCTTGCTCTGATGCACGGAGGGCGGGGGAGAGGCAACCTTCATAGCCAAGCCATAAGCCCCCCTGAATGAGTGACTGTCTCGGATAACAAACGCTCCGGGCTCCCTCTCTCGCAGCAGGCTAATAGCTGTAACACAATTGGCATTCAGTTTTTGTTTTGTGTGTGTGTGTGTGTAAACTCTTTTAGTTTTAGTCATGCTAACAAGGTTAATGAGGATAATGCTGATCGGTCGGTCCACCATTTCAGTCCAGACTGAAGTGTCTAAATTATTGTTAGACAGTTTGCAATAAAATGCTATAATGCCATCAATGTTCACCTTGAAATGAACTGTAATAGCTTTGGTATTCTCAGGATGAGACATAGAATACTTGGTCAGTACAATAAAATATGAAGATAAACTAAAGACAAAGGAAAAGAAGTCAGAACTGAAGAATAACCAAGGTAAAATAAGTCCCGATCCTTTGCTATCAGTCTGTATTTCATAAAAACTATAACTCCTAACATGGCATTGGCTTCAGACACTCCATTGTTTAAGGAGAATAGCTTTAGATCCATTACTTCACTGTGTAGTTCAGTGCCTCAGTGTGTCCACATGTGACATTTTAAGGAAGGAAGATGGATGAGATGACCAGCACATGCAGATGTTCCCTAATTCTCTACATATGGTGTGGCTTTCTCTCTGGAAGTGCATAACACTAAGTACTCTGTATGTGTGTGTGTGTGTGTGTGTGTGTGTGTGTGTGTAGAGTTATATGTCATTGCAGTTGAGTAGTCCTTATATTTAACATGCTGTTATCCAGCACTGACCATGAGCAGATGTAGATGGGGCAGCTAATGGCCACTGACCTCACGACCATAACACAAAAGGAACAAAAACATTGTGCATATAGAGTACCTGTATGTGCGTGTGTGTATTTGTAACTGCATCTGTACTCATTACTGTGGTTATAGTATTTGTTGCTTTCAACCAAGGTTGCAAGCTCAAAGCTGCAACGTTTTCAGAACAACCTGATGAACCTGTGGGCTGTGAAATATTCACAGCCCACAGTGCTATTCTAAGTGCTGGTTTCTGGTGGACTGTTCCTTTAATTGTCTTTAGTTATGGCACACAGTGAAGAGAACAGTGCCCACAGCTGATACCTAACACCAGGAAGATGAAACAAACTCTCAAAAATAAATCTGTTCAAAACACTAAAAGACTTTGCAGAAAACATATGAAGATCATTCAGGAGAAAACCTTTTTACCCTAGTGAGTCATGCTCGGTGCAATTATTACCTTGATCCCTGGAAATATTTGGCTTGTACCAGAACTTGGTTGTGTCTTGGACAAACTTGACATTAATCTTGCTCTCAGGACTTCCATCTGCAATGAAAACAAAAATAAAGCTTCACAGAAAAGGCTGTTACTTAAAATATACCCTAAAATTTGGAGTAAATTGTTTAAGGAATGGTATGTGATTTCTGAATTCACATATCAACTGGCATCGGTATCCTTTGGAGAAAAAATTTCTTATAGAAATTAATAATAACTGGTAACCAGGGCTGGAAAATTTCAGAGGCGCTAACAAATTCTGGAAATAAGCACAAAAGTGCCAAGGTCAAGTCACATCTACCTGAACAAGAGCTGTAGGTGTCAGTATATCTACCACTACATTAAAGGTCATTCTTCATAGAAAGTACAGGCACACTGCTAGCAGAGAGATGGTTGCCAGCACCTTGGGCTGAAAGCCACTTTATTACTGTCCTACCCCCTTAGCATCTAGATCTAACAGTGATGAGGTTACTCCGGATAATTAATGTCCTTACCGAGCATATTGAACCTGGAGAAGTCAGAGAGGGTGTGGAAGTAGCTGGGAGTGCTTCCTCCACTTACTGGGGACATGATCTTCCCATTCAGTGTTCCATAGGGCAGCGCTCCGTTTGGTCTGTCACCGCTTGACATGCGCCTCTTCTCTGGAAGCTGGGGCTGGAATCCAGGTGCTGGGCTACCCTGCCTGAATCCTGCACCCATCCCCACCACCCCCCCATCCTGGTACCCTGCAGGCAAGACGGGGAAGGAGGGTGTTGGTGGACCATGGTAGCCTGAGGAACTGCTCTGTCTTGACAGGTTCCTATGTCTCTCATCTGGGGTGGTGTAACCGCTGTGCATGGGGTGATGGTCCAGACTGGGGCTTCTCTGGGACACCTGTGGAATGGATGGGTGACGGCCCAAAACTGGACTTCCTTGAGGGTGTGGGATAGAAGGCTGTCGACTGAGAACGGGGCTGCTCTGAATGGGCTGGCCCAAGGATGGCTGTCTGCTGAGGACTGGGCTCCGCTGAGACTCCTGTCCTAAAGAGGCCTGTCTACTGAGCACCGGGCTACTCTGAGCTCCCTGACACAGATTATGGCTGAGGATAGGACTGCCACTGAGACCTGGCATGCCTACATCAAAGCCATTAGCTGGCATTTTCTGAGTAATGATGGAACTGCCTTGATTAGGCATTGAGCGCTGCTGGAGGACGGGACTGTGTGAGGAGCCAAGGATGTTGGTCCGGTGCTGTGCATGGAGACTTTCATGGCTGAGTGTGATTTGGGAAGGTTCCGAGGTGGGCAGGCTGGGATCTGAAGACACAGAGCTCCCCAACAGGGTGTTTGGGCCAGAGTATGACAGTGTAGGGGTGGCAGCACCAAGGTAGGACGAGGCTTGGGAGCTGGAATCCAGGTAGGAAGAGGTGGGAGTATTCAGGGCTTGATATGACAGGGTGGGAGTTGGGTAGGCACTCTCTGAAGTCTGGGAGCGGAAGCCTGAATCAGTAGTGGGTTGGGACAGTGTGCTAACACTGATCTCTGCTAAGGCGTGGTCACTGGAAGAAAATTGCAAAAAGTTATTAACCACCTAAAGTTTTTGTGTATTTTGGCAGACAAGATGTTTGCCCTCACTAACAAGAAGGCATCTATGGTTCCAAAAGAGAATTGTTTATTTTTAAGGGTAATGTGATCTTTTCTTTTTTAATGGTCTTTTATATTCTTAAGCCCTGGTTGTGACTGTATATATTTTACTCACCCCTGTGAGCTCTGGATGGGACTGCTGCTGGACAAAGGTGGGTTCAATGATGATGGACTCGGACTTCTCTGTTGGGTTCTAGTCTCTTCTGGTGGGCAAAGGCTCTTGGGTGACGTGGGCGGCTCTCCACCTGCTATTGCTGACCTCGCAACAGAAGTTACGTAGCTTCTTGGTGCTGCAAGGGAGAGGAAAGAGTTTCTCTATGAGCCCTAAACTGACAAAGGGTTTGAATGGTTTGTGATGATTACATGATCATAGCCAAAAAGGGTGATACAATGCAAAAAGAAAAAAAAACAAACTATGAAAACAGTCTACCAACAGAGTGTTAAAACTGTGTGGTTCAAGAGTGGAAATTCTTTGACTGTAGTCCTGTGTTTTGCCATGAGAGTGGATGTGACAGTTTCAGACAAGCAATGAAAATGGAAACACATTACTTGTAGGTGAACAAATAAGATGGAGGAGATTTAAAAACTTGAATGTAGACGATGATCTATGGGATTTCAGCAGCACTCTTACCTTCCTCCCCCTCACTGTTCTCATCATCTGAGGAGCATCATTGGAGATAATCCAGAGAGACAGAAGAATGTAAAAAAAAGGAGCAGCAGCAGTGGAGTTGGAGTTTTTCTGTGCTATACTCATTTAATATGGTGTTAATAGGGAGTACTTGTGTGAGGTGAAGTGTTCCCATTTAGCCTTCAGTTGCACACAAGGAGGGCATATTTGAACAAAGTCTAAAGGTTGACAAGCTCGTTATGCTGGTACACTAGCTGCTAGGTCAGAGCATTTAAAGATTAATCCAACTTAAATGCCCACTCTGGAATTTTTGACCCCACAGATTTCTTTGCAGTTTTACATATCTCAAATGATCATACTTCTCTGCTTTACACAAATGACTGATGTAAACAAACATTTTACCAGTGTTGGGAAACAATAGCTTAGATTTAGTTCTAATTCATCTTTTCCATAACCACGTTGAGTGCTGTTTTTTAAAAAGTGAGTGTATCAACCAACCTGAGCCTGTTTGATTCAGGACGATTTCTGCTGGGTTGTGGGGCTTCAGCCCCAGTGCTGACAGTGGAGTCTTGGCAAGACCAGGAGGGGATCGACCTGAAGAGAATTAAACAGTTATCACCACAAAGTGTCATCAGAGCTGCCCTGAGAGCCGCTACCTGGCATCACAGTGTAACAAGGATGTATTACCTTTTTGAGAAAAATGAAAGCACAGTATAAAAACAGCCAACTAAAATTCAACTATCCATTCCATTTATATATGGGCTGCTGAAGTGAAATGTAGTGCTTTTATATCTGACCTTCAGTTGTCACAATCACATACTAAAACACAGGTAAACAGCTCTCAAGACCAGACACAGATTCACATCCACACAGGTTAACACACAGATGCAGCATGTTCAGAGGGATGTGCCCATGCCTCATGCTCTGATGGAGGGGCAAAACATGCACGCGATCAATCACAATGTGGCTGCGACAGCACTTCACTCTACTGTCAGCAAAGTGAGATGTGTCAAACACAAGTTTGTATCAAAGCAGAGTCAGGTCAAACCAAACTCATAAAGGACACAAGGAAAATCTACACTTGCTTTAAAACTTAAAAACTGTCTAGTGTATTCCTCAATTGTCCTTTTGTACTGTACTATATGTGTTAATTTTATAGACTCTGTAGTTAGTTTTCATTTTACAGTCTTCACTGTATTAGTGCTACTACCATTTCTGCATTTCTTCACTGTGTTCATAGGCTACTACATTATTACCATCAATAAAATACAGTAACAGGAGCTTTGGCACAGTCTCTGTTATATTAACAGGAAGAGTAGAGTGTTTCACCACAAGAGTCTTATTATTTATATTAGGATCTATATGACTATAATCATCCTGACTGTGAATGTGTTTTAATCTAGGTGACTGTCCACGACATGAATCTGTCTTCCACCTCACCTTCCTTTACAGTGCCAACTACTCCTTTTTCCCTTCCATAAACACAATAATAGGGAGGGAAAAAAACTAATATCTGGTAATTAAGACTTCCGGGGGAGGGCAGGCAGGATGCTGGTTGCAGTGAAACAAGGCAGCAGCAGAAACCCAAACATAGTTGGGAACAGCAACACTGAGAGCAGCAGCTGTGGACAGTGTGCTTTACAGTATGTGTATGACTATGGCATGTTCCGATTAATGTGATGAAAGCGCATGTTGTATCTGTTTAATCAGCAAAAGACCTACACAGTATGTTGTTTACTTCTGTATGTGGCTGTGTTCTACATCAGTGCTGCTCTCATGTGACTCTCATACCAAAGCGGTGCAGGACTGTGGTAAGTGATGGGCACAGAGAAAAGACAGGGATTTGGGAGTTGGGGATGAGTATGCTGACGCTGTGGGACAGTGGAACTCCGGTAGACAGACGTGCATCCTCCACTTACCAAAGAATCCAAAGCAATTCTTTGTACTTGCAACCTAGATGCCCCATATTTAACTGTGGGTGGTGTGTGTGGGACAGTGTGGCCACTTGGAGAATGAGATCTGAGGACACTCTAGAGATGACGGTGTCATGTGCACTAATCAGTTAGCTAACCGTGCACCTTTAAAGAGTATTGCAAAATTTTACTCAGTTAACAACATTGTGTGTTCAGCTGAGAAAAAGATAATCTATTTATTGGTCTATTTAGACTTTTAAAAATACAACCAAAGCAAAGGGACTGAAATCATTATCTCTTGCAAACATTTCCTTCAAGATTCAATGTGTTGTTTATCTTAGGAAAATATTACCGCTCAGTATCACTGCATAAACATTGTTCCATTTTCATGGGGGGAGGAATGATGTGTTAAAAATATGGCACATGTGTTTTTATGACTGACTTTTATGGGTGGGCTCGTAGGGAGATAAGCAAGAGGACTGGATGAGGTAATTGGTTGAGCTGGCAAACGACACGTTACCTAATGACTCTTGAGGGGTGTACTGTATGTGAGGGGTAGTGGAGGGAAGGAGGGGACATATTTGTCCTTAACTCTGTGTATGGCTTTTGGTACTGTATACTTATACCTTTTCTGTTTTCTGGACTTATTGAAAGAGTTACTCTAAAAAGAGACATGTACAAGCAGCTGGTCGACTTACACCAGACTGACCTGACCTTTCTTTGCCTTGACTTCTGATTCTGTATCTACTGAACAATGACTACATTCTTGTGAGACAAGAAGGATTCAGTCTTTCACAAGATGTAGCCACTCAGGCATTTTGATGAACCAGCACAAGACCAGAATACTGCTACTTCCCACTCATACACTGGATATTGAAAATGCAGCCCATGTACAATCTGAATGAAAATGAGATGAAGTAATAATGGGGATATACTGAGAACATATGGAACCAAATGGAAACCATAAGGAGAGAAATGACTGTAAGTTAAGTTAAAGTACCATGAGCATCTGCCATGTGTTAAAAAAGTTCTGATTTTTCCTGCAGTAACTTCTACCAGTCTCACAAGTTTCTTTGGTAACCTCATTAAAATGTTTACCTTCATAAAGTAGTTAGTCTAAGTTGAATTGTCTAGAAATTTAAACAAGTGCAACATTTACACATATGTTTAGGTATAAAGTACAATAAGCCACAATTTAGCTTTTTACATTTTCACTGCCAGAAACATCTGGAGGGTATTTCACAGGTAGACTTGCTTTTTTTTGAAGTTGCTATAAAACAAAAGAAATTCAATATGATTGTAAATACCTGGAATAACATGTCAATCATCAATATGTGTTTCAATTGGTGAAGCTGCTGCTCAACATGTGGACACAAAGCTAATCTCAAAGTTAAGAATCATTTTCTGTGGCTATCAATCACTTTATCTTCTTCTAATTGGCTAATTAGGCCAGAGCTCCACAGTGCCCTCTGTCAGCTGGAGGGGGAACTTACACAGGTTGAAGTAAGGGGTTTGCGGCGAGATGGGGAAGGCAGGGGTTTGGGAAAACACCTCACCACCAACTGTGGGTGTAGCACTGATCGGACCTCCTTCCAGTTCCTCAAAGGCCTCCCGGTAGCTGTGCATATTTCTCTGGAAAGAGGATCAAAACACTGTCATGTCAATGTGGGGAAAAAGTGTGAAAATATGTTTTAAAATGTAGACTTTTTAACCTCCTTAGGCCGTCCTCCAGGGTTCATCGCTATAGCGTTGACAAACTCTGGAGAAACACAGCGAATGGGGGAACGCATTGGGACATCAGGAGAGGAGCTGTCATCAGGACCATTCTGATACTGGCCATCACTGGTGATGCGATGGCGGGGCAGAGTATCAGGCTCGTCCAACGACACCACGCGGGCTTGGACACCTAAGACAACATGCAAGTCAGTCTTAAAATTCAGCAAGGGCCAATCACTGCTGCTCTATGATCCTGGTTTCCTCCAGTAATTCCATCACCATCATCAGTGTTAATAGTTTTCAGCCATTGTGAATGCTCATTGTTCATTTTGCACACATAAAAACACTGGAGAGCATTTGCAGGAGGCTGTGGGTCTTCAAACCTTCAAATTTAACATGCACACACACACAGTGACACACAATCAATAGAGGGTTAACTGCTGATCAAACTGAGGCACCTTATATCACAACAGGAAACTTCTCATAATTTTAAAATGATATCCCCAACAAAACAAAACTCACAAACTAATGCAAGATTTTCAAACTTTTGGGAAATTCAACATGTCCTTAGATATGTGGTATGTTACATCATGTAATAGTCACTCCTTCTGGCACCAGCTGAAACATAATATCCAACTATTTTGGAATGCTGGGATTAAAATGTTTTCTCACACAAATTATCCAGACTTTTTGATACACTGGTGCAAACAATGTTATTTATCTAATGCATCAATGTGGCCAGCTCTGGAAGAACCTCAGAGCAGCCAGTCAGCTCATTTCAGTTAATCTTGTGTGAACTGACGGCATCAGGGTGAGAGAGAAAGTGACCAATATAAAAAAACAGGATTTGAGTTCAGAGGTTTCAGCTGATATTCAATGGCGTTGAGGTGCAGGTTGAGGTGGCAAAGCACGAAACAGCTAAAACAGCAAAGCCAGAGTGAAAGACCTGTCACTGGCTGCTCTATGCTGTGGAACAAGATGAAGGTCAATGTGATGAAGAAGAACCACCACAGTCTTAAGAAACAGGTAGAAAAAGTGATGTTTGTGCTGAGGCAGTTTACCCTGTGACTTTCCAAAGTGTTAGCTCTCTTTTTGTCCCAACTTTTGGCTCCCATATCTTTCTTTCTCTGAGCATTTTTGCAGGTTTCAATCTACATGGTTTCTTTAACTGACTACCACTGCACCATCTCATCTGTCACACCTAACAATGGCTTAGCTTAGTGGGATAAGCTCACAGAGAAACTGAAAGCAAACACAAGCTGATAGTGATGTTAAAAATATGACTGAAGGCTTTTGTTAATTTGATGCTAACAGACATTTCCATACATGGAACAAATCATGCAGGCACACCCTACATGCCTGACTGCTATGGAAACTGAAAATATTAATATTCTCTTGATTCAACTTCACTTTGAAGCAAGGGAGCAAAACCCTGTCCAAAATGCTCGTGGGGAAAAGTTAGCGAGTGCAGCTGGGAAAAGCTGAACAGTCATAGTATCGAAGCAAACTGCCATTGCAACATGTGCAAAATAATTTGAGTTTTTCTCCATTAAGCCAGTGAAAACATCCAAACATGTATGCATTAATATTAAAAGGTTATGTTCACTTGTTTTTAGAATAAGTGATAAACAGGTGCCGATCATGCTGCCTGTTAGGATGCTTGATTTATCTTCAGCTTCAAACAGAGTGGTGTTGGTTAAAATATCTTGGAACTGACAGCTTTGAAAAGCATGCAGTTAACACCCCCAAACAGAAATACACCCACCGTCACACCAAGCCTGGAAACCAGATGTACCCACGATGCACTGCTCTACAGCAGAGCACTGTCAACTGCTTCGCTGTTGCCCCAGCAACAACTAATGGTTTCCAGCTGGGATGGCCAGAGAGCCCTATAAATGACATTTTTCTCTTTCTTTCCTTGTCTCTCCTCCCATTTCTCAGCTATTTTAAATCCAGTTATCATGGAATAAGCATGAGGCTCAATCCAAAAACATAAATTTTGTAGGTGATGCTGTGACTTTCTTTTTTCTTCTTCTTCTTTTTTCTTCTTCTTCTAACCTTGTGGTAGAAAAACCACAATCTGCACATGCACACAGCCACAGAGAGTTTATCTAAGGTAAGACCAATGGGCTTGAACTCCTGAAGAGGTCAGTTCCAATCAATAACAGCAATGTAATTTGTGTTCTTTGATTTACAAGTTTACAATGTGAAATGACATGATGACTGCAGATATGTGTTCATTAGAGCCACTCTACAACCCAAGATGAACTCTGTAACATTTACTGTAACTCTGACACTGTTTTGCATCACTAAAAAGGATTTTGCTGTCTGTGGTAAAGAGGCCAGACTATCCCATGATACCCTAAGCCACCACATAGAAGAATCCTGTCTCTACTGTAGTGGCTGTCTGACTGTGAGCACATACTGTATTAAGTGATGTTTCATCATGATAGTGATGTTTCCACACAGGACTGTGGTCTGTGTCCTAGATTTGGTGTCCTTTGTCTGGCTTCGTAAATCTCTAAAACGGTGAAACAAAAGCAGCCCTGAATGAGGCTACTGTATCCTGACCTCACTATTGTTCCCCAAATTTGGCAAAACGGATCTTGTGACATGCACTCGGCTGGCAAAGGACAGAGCCTCCTTTGTGCTTCCCTTGTCTTGTTCTTGTGAAACTTAAACATTATCCAATTGGGGTTTTCTTCTACACCACAGTTAGGGTAATTCCCTTACCTTGTGGTAGAAAACTGCAACTCAGAACAAAGCATGCAGAAAGAAATCATTAAATGGTTAGTCTGAAACCCAATGACAACAGAGAAAAAAGCAGTGTTTTGTATGAAAATGGGAAAGAAGAAGTGAAACAAAAAGACGGTGAGTAGCTGCAGATGAGGAAGTCGGTTATTAAACAAGACAAGAGAATTAGTTTAGTGCAAACCAAAACCACCACACTCAAAGACAATGCAGATCCAGACTTGGACTTTGATTAAAGGAGCACTTCAAAAAAAGGAGAGCATTCCTTCAGACAGGATGGGAGAACCAACCCGAAAGGGAGTGAGAACGGCGGTGCTCAGACTGAGAAGAGGTCATGCTGGGGATGAGACTTTGGACACGAGCCGAGTACTCTGGGTAAAAAGATGAATGATGAGAGAGAGAAGAACGATGATGACAAAACTAAAGGGAAAAGGAAGCAAACAGTGGATAAGGTCCCACCTGTTATGAGGACAAGAGAACAAGATAGTAAGTTTGGGCATGAACCTTTTGGTGCCGATGGGCGTTCTAACCTGTGAATACCGCATTAAAAACACAAGTACATAGCCAAAAAGAGTGGTACCTTACTGCACCAACTCCTGATAATGTTGAACTAGTACTTGCTATTGTGTAATGTGCACAAATACTCTAAATGTAAATGACAAAAAATGAAGAGAACTGAATTGTTGACTGTAGAAAACCACTCTCTGCTGTTTGTTATCTCAGGGCTCAGCTATCGCATAGCTTCGTGTTGACTTTCTTCCATTTCTTGTTTCTCTGCAGAATGTCAAGTCTGATGTGCTTATCTAGGGACATTCAACCTGCTGGACTGGAGAAAACATGTCTGAGCCTGAGTGATGGGGGCTGATGAGGTGACATTCAGGAAGTGAGATAAGGATAGGACGGTGCTTTCCAAAAGAGCTGTGTATACACTGTATGGCTAATGGCATCAATATTACTCTTCAGCAAATGGTCTGCTATAAAACTACAACAAAAACAATGTGTGCAGACACACATGATGTCGTAATATTTGAACAATATGTAGTTTAGAATGGTAATGTTAGCACTGGACTGACTATGAAACTGATGAACCAGATGTATTAAAGGTTACATCAGGGGACACGCTAAAGTGGAAGACTAAGCCTACAGTATGCAGGCTGGGGCAGTAAGTAGTCCACTATATGGATATTGGGCTTTAATTTAGTTTTTTCCACAGGTTAACCTTTTTTTCATTCCACAGAGACTATAGAAATCATGACTATACAAATCACTACTGTACAACACAATAACAGATTGTATTATTGTAATTAAATGGTCTGAGGTCACAAATGGAATAAGGTGTCAGGATGAAGTAAGTTAATGATAAATCTTACCAGCCACTCTTTGGGCCACCAGACCTTCAACACTGAAAACTTCATCGGGCTCGCTGTCTCTCAGGGGTGATGCTGACGCAGCACTAGAGCTTCTCTGGGGCTCAGGGGCTTCTGCAGATTGGGACATTGTGCCTGGTGGGTACGTTTTGCTGGGCTTGAGCTGGACTTGCCCAGCTGCATCATGGGAATCGTGTGAGGGAGGACTAGTGACAGCAGTTGCAGAGGTGTAACTCAGAGATCCCTGGACAGGGGCAGGCTCTGGTGTACTGGGCTTCCCAGGTGACGAGTGGCTGGCCATATTGGACAAGGGACCAGAAAAGCGGGTTTGAATGATGGCATCATCCCGATAGGACGGCCTGATTTGGCTCTGGGAGAAGGACGGCTGCGTGGTCACTACAGTGCTGTTTTCCTGCAGTGGAGCACTTTGGGATTTTGACACCAGCGGACGGCCTGGTTCCAGATCCAACATGAGAAGATTAAGTGTCTCAATGGATTGCTCAATCTCTTGTTGGGAGGCGCTGTGGCGATGAGGAAACTGTGGGAGGCTATGGTGGCTGGGCATTGCTGCTACAGAAGGAGGCGGACTAAAGGTGAGGCCTTCAGTGACCGGCTCCTCAGGTACACCAAACTGTTGCCAAACATTGAGACCACGTTGCACGGCTTCCTTGCTACTGGTGGAGCGAGTGGGAGCTTGTGGCATAGACTCTGGCTCTGCACCAAATGACTGAGAGCGGTACAGGTTGCCATTCTGGTTGGTCATGTAATTACTTGAGCGTGGGGCTGAATCACTTTGAATCAAAGTGGCAGGTTTATCAGATATACCAACCTGAGGCTGGACGGTTTCCAGAGGCTTTTCAGGAACATTGCGCTCCAAATATGGCACATGGTCCTGGCCATTATGAAGTGACTCAGACTGGTAGTAGAGATCAGCTGGTGTAGCCCGACCATCGGTAGAGGAGAATGTTCCTAGACTATCCACACTGTTGCCCTCCTGACTGGTAGGTAGCTCATCATCTAAAATATCTGTTTCACGGTCAACGTTACTGTGCCCATTGACATGGACCTGGACAGGCACGAAGTGAAGCATCCCTCCAACAGCAGATGTTGGGGTGGACAGGTAGCCCTGTTGGTACATGGGTCCCTCCAAACCACTCAGCAGTTGTTCCAGCTCCTGTTTCTCTTGGGGACTGATTGACTGTTGTGCAGGTGGGGTGGGGTGATGGGCTGAGGGTGGCTCCTCACCTGCAGGAGCGTGCATCTGGCTCACTGTGGAAACTTGAGGGGCTGCTACAGCTTCATCAGTTCGGTCAGTTTTGATGGAGGCAGTAGAGTTTCCTGAATCGCTGCTCACTGATAAGGCATGGTCAACTGCAGGTAGGGCATGCTCAGCGGCGGTGGGTGTAAGGCCGTTCGCTGTGACTGTTCCTTCAGCAGACTCCTTTTTGCGAACTTTGGCGTAGAGGCTGCCGTCCAGTGGTCCTTGGGTATGGATGACTTCTAAAACAAACAACATGACAGAGGCTCATTAGAGTCAGATGAAACCAAATACAACAATCAACAACCATTTAAATGTAGTATTTTACTACATATATAAGTATTTTTAGAGCCACAGTACATTTGTAGTCCTCTAAATATAGGCACACAATTTTTATCAAGGCATTTAGGAGCAAAGAGTGACAGACTGTGAGAGACAGAAGCAGGCGTATTGGGTAATTGTGCAGACATAGCCAAAATAGCTGCAGTTAAATTAAACACTGGCTCATGTCCACCTATTCTGCCAGTTTCAGGAAATGATCAGGGTCTGTGGCATGCGCTGTGGAAAATGCGATGAAATCACAAGAGCCTGCCTTGCACTCTCTCGGATCAGCTTGCATAATCTGTGCCACCTGAGCAACACTGGGGTGATAGAAGATGAAGCAGTTGTTGATTTTATTTGCTTATGATCCCCACAGCTGTACACAGGATAAAAAAAGAAAGACTTTTTAGCTTATAGGCTCAAATGGAATGCTGTAATGTAGATTCACAGGACACAAATACACATGCACACATACTGTACATTCACACACAGCCACACCCAGTGAAGAGGAAGTAGGGTGCCCCAGTCAGAAGAATTCAGTCATCACTGGAAAATCAGCCTTGCTGATTAATGAAGGTCTGGAGGTTTTTTCTAGCCTCTGAAAACCAGAGGAAAACAATATGGCAATGTGCTGAGAGTCGCAATGGAAAGGCTGAAAGACACACACGCACATATAGTACCTGCCCTCCTCCCCTCCCTCCCTCCACAGTGCACCAATACATTCAGACTGATCAATATTTTCATGTGATCAAGAACTATCAATATATATGACCTTGCTCTTCCAAAGTTCACAACTATCCCACATCCACCACACCATTTAGTAATAGTATGGTTATACAGACTTCAGGTGGGCAAAGAAAATGCAATACTTTATAAGGTAATTTCTCTGCCCCTGTTCCAGGAAACTTTATGACTTATGATATGGTGTGTCCTGATAGCCAAATCAGATTCTACAGCTGGGAAAGGAGCTGCACAAAGAGGTAGTCTGTGTCTCTGTAATTTATATATGTCTCCATCTCAGCTTTAATGAATACGGTGCTCTGTACTGGAGTTTGGTGGGCGTGCACAAGCTGGATACTGCAAGGTCCCCTCGGCTGGCCTCAGGCATTTTGCCAAGGGAATGGCGCACTGTACTGAACTGCTGCACTGTCAGGCTGCTGGTAGAAAGAAATCTGGTGGCTGTTGGCCACAGAAAATCACAGTGTATGGTTTACTAGTACCAAGCTGTTAGTGGGCTTACTACTGTGATTGGCACGTTGGTGGACCACATGCAGGAGAAAGAGACTGTTACTTTCTACCATGTCCAGTTTGATAATTACATTTGGACAGTGTGCTTCTACAGTCAAGACCTGTGGTCTTGTCAGAGTTGCATATCAAAGCTCATGGTAGTTGTCATGATTATCATAGTCAGCAGACAATAGAAAAAAATAAAAAAAATAAAAAAACATGAAATTTTCAGATTTTTATAGTTATTAATGTACATTTTCCACCAAAGTCAGTGTTGTCTTCTCAGAAGAGTTAGCTGCTAAGACATGAGGCTCCAAATCAAGTCGTCATGACACATTTATATACAAAAACAGCTTATGTATCAAGTTAGGAGCTGTGCATGCATTCCATTCCACATGTGTGCACATACAGACACACTGTTAAAGCATCAGCCACGCCGACAAAGATAGACATAAGTCATGAAAGAAGACCTTCTCACACTTTCTCCATTTCAGTAGCTTTATAAACGCCTGCACCATGGCCAAATGCCACTCATGCAATTTATTTGTCACATAGCTCAACTGATTTCATAACCTGTGTGCCTGGACTACAACACTTCAACAGGTCCCCTCAAAGTAAATGAAAGCTATATTAAAGGAAATGGCAGAAACACCTCCTCAAGAGGAGGTTCCCCTACCTGTGTGAGGAGTGGACGATGGTACAGTCTCAAACTAAGATGGGAAAATCCCTCCTTACGAGCCCCTGGAGCTCACAGGACATGAGGGATTACAGCTGGAGTTAGGGGAGTTGGTTTTGGCTACTGTTCCTTCTCCTCCTTCTTCTCCTGGATAACTCATAGGCTCAGATCAGGAGAGCTGCTGCTTCTGCTGTCTGCTTAGTGGCTCACACTAGTCTAAAGGCTGCCCCTGCTGTGTATATGGGAGGTCGATCACAACAGCCAGTGTATGTGGGAGGCGGGGGGTAAAGGGGCCGCTAAAATCCAGAGTATAGATTTTGATAGAATGGTGTCAGTGCCATCAAGCAAACACCCACTTCCTTGGTCTACAGTTTGTACGAGCCCCTATTAACCAGAATAAAGCTTTTCTCTTTACTCATGAGATCCTCTTTTAAAATCCATGTACAGAAAAGCACATATTAGGATATATGCTAACATGCACAGATATATGCCCTTTCCATGGTCACATACACACCAATGCCCCTCCTTTAGCTCACTGGTGTCAAAAAACACTCATGTAATGGAAAGAACTACACTTTGTCCATCCATGGTCATTTAACGAGCCTCACTCCAAGCTGGGGAGCCGGGGGAAACTCCACCCTGCTGCAGGCAGATGGAGAGCACAAAACATACTAGGTAAAAAATAGAGGGATTAAAATTAAAAGTCTTTTGTCCTACTCAGAAAGTCTAAACATGATAGATAACCTCATCGCTGGGATGGAAGAATACTTTATACTGTAAATGCAACACACTAACATACTGTATGCACACATTCACTCAAAACACCTTTTCCCACAGTTTGGAAGGTCTTCAGTGTGTGGTTCAGGCCACATCAGCTAGTCATCTGCACACATTGGCATGCAGGATTTTACTATTGCACACCATGATCCAGAACAATTAGCAATAACTACATTTGTCATTCTGGCTGATAACATGCAGCTTTAGGCCTCTACATCCTCATTTCAAGCAAAGTCAAAGGATGTTACATGATTATGGATTGCACTGGATACAAATTTTTCATTTTTTGACTCACAGATTGTCACGCCGCTGTTTTCTCTCTTTAAGCTGTGTCTTCTCTTTCCACCCCCACATCCTTCCCCTGGACTCTCGCTCTCTTCTCTCAGTGATGATAAATGTGATGGTTGTACTCTCACATCAAATGAAAGTCCAGTTTAGTCTGCTGTCTTTAATTAGCTCATGTCTTCACTTTAGAGACGATGTGACTAAGGAGTAATCCACACAAGCCCCATTTGGACTACAGGAAATTGAGTCTGTCACTTTACACTTGTGAAACTTTTTATGGAAAGCACACTATGTATGTTGAGGCTATTTCTCTGTGTGGGCCTATGACTGCTGTTGTTTTCATTTGAGCACATGTGAGCCTCTACGAATAACCTTAGTCAGCATCCATTCTTGTGATGATAAATGGCATGTGTACATGTAACACACACAATGATCATACAGTGTGTGTATGTGTCTTCTCGTTGGTGTGTTTTTACATACATGTGTCTGCAGTCCTGATCCCATAGACTTAACTTGTTATATAGCAGCAGAGGGAGAGTGGACCACGTCTGACCAGTGTGGAATGACCCACAGGCGATGACGATACAACCTCTTCATTAGTGAGATGTTTAGATCACCATGATTGTAAAATGCAGTATGAGGTGGTGGAACTGCTTGCTCACATATAGGCAAATATAGACAGTCAGGGTTGAAATGAAATATTGCAGACATACTGTACAAGAACATAGTGTTCTGTTTCAATTGATGTTCCTGTGCAGTATGTCTGCAATATTTTGTTTTTAACCCTCACTGTCTATAACAGAACACTACCAAAAACAAAGTGCTGTAGAGGGAAGGTGCCACCAGATATTTTGAGGCTTTGCGGGGCAGATGGTGCAACTCTGTGACCTCTTCATCTCTGAACTTCGAGCTCTGACCCCTGTTTCGTGATATTTTGTTCACAGCAGAAATAGCATGCTTCCCCTCCAGCTTACAAGTACAAACACACCATGTGCTACACTGTGGACGTGCGTGTCACAGAGTGTGTGGATATTCTGAAGGGGTGTGACATTAATAACTACTGAAGCCACTAATAGCCAGATGGGAATAAAGCTGTATTTAAAGAAGAAGAAGCCTAACAGAATAAAGACACAAGTACAGCCTGGCACTATATTTGGTAAAAATTAATGGCAGAGCTATTGATTTGGCAACAAAGCATGCCTTTACTGTAAGTGAAAGCTTGAGGACAGCTATTAAAGTAATAATGTGGCCTTGTCAGTGATCTACAGATGAGGCTATTACATCATCTGAGCTGGATTAATTTGACTTGTGAAGATCAGAGATGACTGATGAACTATAACAGTCAATAGAACTCATGAAGCAGCTATCATAAAATAAAGCAACACAATACTGTAATTGTCATGTTAGGGGCTTACTGATTTTGAAAAGGCATATCATAGAAAATTATTTATTTATTTCAACTGAAAAACTGTCTCACTACAATACAAATGTAATAATCAGACAAATGATGCCAATACCAGACCTTCTAATAAGAATTTGGATGGATTTTCCTGATACATTAGTGGAGAAGCATGCCAGGATGCACTGTACATCTGAACTATTGCCATCATCCATTATGCCCCAAAAGGCTTAGTCAGATGTAAGTACTCAGTTTTGTTCTAGCTTAATAAACACTTGACCTGCATCTCATTAAAAATACATCAAAGGCTACTGTGAATCGATGTGTGTAAGTGCAAACTTGCTGGGACTGGGAAAACAAAGGACAAGGTAATGGAGGATGGTTTGGAACAGGCAGTATTGGGATATTGATCAGTATCAATATGGGATGATATGTTCACTTTCAATATTTGGCAGCCACTGACATGGCTATATGGCATGGATATATGCAGTAATAATTCTATTCCAAAATATGCTTCAAACTTAAACACAAACTAAATTCTTACTTGTTATATCTCATATTTATTAACAGCTGCCTCAGGATGGGCACTGTCCCCACTGCCCTTAAGAATTCTGTAGTCAGACCACTTCTCAAGAAGCCTAACCTCGACCCCACACTCCCTTCTAATTTTTGTCCAATCTCATTTGCCTTTTTTATCCAAGGTCATGGAGAAAATTACACAAACAGTTACAGTCACATCTTGAACTCTGTGCTGTTGTTGATAAATTTCAAGCAGGCTTTAGGTCCCGGCACAGCACTGAAGCCGCGCTACTGAAGGTCCACAATCATATTCTTGCAGCCCTTGATGCAAAGAGTCCCGTTGTTCTAGTGCTTCTAGATCTCACAGCAGCCTTCAACACCATGGACCATGCAGTTCTCATTTTCTGCCTTGACGGACCATGCAGTTCTCATTTCCTGCCTTGAACATTGCGTCAGCTTGTGCGGTGCTGTGCTCAAATGGTTCATTTCTTTTCTGACCAATAGGACCTTTTCAGTTGTGATCAACCACTCTCAATAGCCTCTCTTTCCTTGAGTGTACCCCAAGGATCAATCCTAGCGCCTATACTTTTCTCACTATATATGCTTCCGTTAGGTTCAATTATCTCTAGGCGTAACAGCCACTTTCATTTTTATGCTGATGATGTGCAGATTTACTTACCATTAATGCAGAGTGATGACAATGTACTAGCCCCCTTGCACAGGTGTCTGCATGGTATTAAACAGTGGCTCACACAGAACATCCTTCATTTGAATGAGGGGAAGACTGAATACATCACTTTTAGCCCTGACTCTACTCACATCATACCCGACCAAGGAGCTTCAGTCCCTTTATTCACTCAAACTGTGAGAAACCTAGGAGTTTTATTTGATAGCAGTGTCACATTTGACAAGCAGATTAGCTCTGTGGTCAAAATAAGCTTCTTTCAACTGAGGCTCTTAGCAAAGGTGAAGCCCTTTTTATCTCGACTCGACCTAGAAAAAGCCATTCATGCTTTCATTAGCTCACGACTTGACTACTGTAACGCCCTCTGTACTTTGACACATTTCTATTGTACATGAGTTTTATAGATGTCTACAGACTTCGGATTCAAATTTGTGTCATTTTAACATGTTTTACTTTTCGTTAGCTTTATGTGTCTCAATATGTTTTGCTTTTATTTTTAATATGTTTTGCTGTGAAGCACTTTGAGTGGATGTTGTAAAGCACTATATAAACAAATAAATTAAATTAGATTAAACATAAACTGTAATCTACAGTGGTCATTTGTAGCCACTATTGGTTAGAATAGACTATATTTAGCACAAAAACTACTGGAAAAAATGCAAAAGTGTAGATCAGCCAGACAGTTCCTCCATGCAGAGCATTGTGTTTCACTCTGGATAAGGTTGTGTATCAGGAAAAATCATCAACGGTCGTCAGCAGCAGGGCTGCAAAGGGAAAATCTCCAGCTGGCTGTAGCTATCTTCTTCTAGGGGTGAGAAGTCTTGATGGGCTAACTTTTGAAGCTCTGGTCTGGCAAACCAACAAAGACACAACCACATCAGGGCCTGAGAGTTTATACAGATCCTCTTCAAAGAAACTCTTGTCAGCTCCTGTTTCAATCTACATCTTTTATATAAACGCTCCAGACACTTCTTGCTATTAGAACTGTGTCAACATGACTGTTTACACGAGGTTAAACCTTTAAGAATCTCTTGAATAGACTGAGGTGACAAAGCATTTTTGTGATAACTGTAAAGTCAAATTTTCCAGTGTCTGCAACAACTGCTGTACACTTCACTTTTGAAAATTTGAAGCAAAGGCAAGACAGAGAGATGGAGAAAGCAGAGCATCAAAGATATGAGTCAATAATAGTCTAAGCTTTGTCAACCTTTTCTCCATTTCCATTTTCTCACCCAATTTGGATGAACCATTTTGTTTGCACTTGGTTCCATCTCATTGCTCATTGCTCTCAATCTCTCTTTGGGCTATGCATGGTGTCACCAGCCACTTCTTTGCACCTGCCAACAAGAACCTAACAATGACTGGGATGGCATAACACATACAGAGGTTATCACTATCTCTTCACATTCTATCCCCATCTATGCAGATGCCCTGAACATCCAGTAGGAGTCGATACCACAGGGCACTGGCTCCTTTTCTTCCTGGCATTAGTTGGTAGCACCACATGAGCTCCTGCTACCAGGGGCTAAATCTGGGTTGTGGTTCTGCCTTGCATCACCATGTGCCCTGGAGGAATGTGGACTGAAGAAGGTGCACAAATGAGAAAAGTGGAATTGGCTAGTATGTGTTCCTGGTGCTCTAGTGGCCAGTATAACACTACTTTTTCAAAAGTGTCTTTTGAAGTGAAGAAAACTGTTATGACAAGGAAAGATTGGTGCATGAATACAGTAGGACTCTGTTCAACAAGGAGGGAGAGGCCAGTGCTCTTTTTCTCTTTGTAAAGTTGTTCTCCCATGTCTATCCACCCCATAGCTCAAGAAGGGTTTATTCAATAAGCTAACTGGCCCATGCAGAAGGATGACCCAGGCCAGTAACACGCCTCAAACAAAACAGGGATGCCTAATAAAAAAGTGCACCTCTGGGTTTTTTCTCCAAACATAACTCAGTTCCTACATCCTTTCAAGCAAAATCATTAAACATAAGAACACAGATAGACAAAAAAGGAAAGGGGTTAGAAGGGACAGTATAAAGAAATCCAGCTAAGTGCCTGTGCAAAGCCAATGATTACCTGAAGGGAGACAAATACTCCTTTTTGATCAATACAAACTATTTACCAGTTCAGAACTGGTTCATCTTGCAGACCTTCTGAGAACCGGTTTGTGTTTCCACGTGCTAGAGAGCCACTGCAGAGCCACATAATTATGTCACTGTTCTGAATACAGCTCTGCTTTCACAGTAATGCCAGTGCTGCTCCTGGTTTTGCAAGCCCACATTGGAATCTGGACACTTCTACATTTGAGCTGCTCATCATGATTTCTATAGATAGCGATTATATTTAAGAAGAATGGTAATTACATACCATGATTTGATTCATATTAACACTGAATGTAAAAACAGTGGCACTCAACTGCTTGGGGTGACCGCAAAACACCAGTGGAGCCACAGCAAAGTCAGGCCTATAGATGGAACCATGCTGAATTTACCAAGCACAAATATGTCCTTATTATATAATATATTACCCACAAAAAGGTTTCTGTTGGCTGAGATAAAACACTTCCTGAGGATCCTTCTACAGTGCAAAGACATTAATCTTGTATAAAAGACAGTTAAAGAGCAGATCTTGTGGAAAGAACTTGTGGAAAAGTGGTCATGATTAATTATGTCCTGGCTTTAGGGGCTTAGCCAGATCAGCTGTGTAAAGATGGCTGGAGACAAAGAACACAAAAAAAGTGTCTGGCCAATAGCTATGCTGTCCATAAGGAAATAGCACAGTCACACATTATGAGTGCAGATAACTCTCATTCCTGTCTCTGGATTAGTTCCGTTTTGCAAAAAGTTCTACTCTGGCTATGGTACAAAAAGTGAAGCATGCTGTCATTATTCCTGTGCTCAGCTCACAAAGGCAGCACAGGCAACACTTTATAGAAGGCTTCATTAGCATGTCCTGTGTCTGACAACTTTCTGCCAGTTTTGGTGTAGCACACACACAACCTAACACTTGCCCACAGCAGTAACTGTTGCCTAGCAGAAACCCCTGCCCCTGTGCACCTGGAGCCAAAGTCCAAACAGAGACACTCCACAACATAAGGCACTTATTCTTTCTTGGTGTCCAATGCAGTCCTTACTAGAAGGCCTTTATTTTTCTATCCTGGTGATTTATGCAACCTGAACTGGGCAAAGTTTGGAATCAAAACAGCCTAATCTGCCAAATACCTCGGAGTAGATGGTGCAGAAGCCTGTTGTCCACACAAATTTATAGATGTTTCATCTCTGCATCTTCTTGGTGAAATGTCACAGCCTGATAATGTCTATATTTCAATGAGATCACATCAAGCACTGGCTTACTGCATCAGGTAATGGCTGTCAGATCAATGATAAGAATCAGATTATTATTTGCATTTGAGTATGATTAAATACTACAAGGAGCAAGCTGTGATGAGTGAAGATTAGCACTGAGAGCACCTGAAGAAAATGTCATATGTATTTCAGTTCTCTGGTTTTACTAGATTTAGCAATCATTAAATACTTCATGGAAATCTATTAAACTGTATTCATTCTGTGTTGTCCTCCGCGGACAGGTATTATTGCCCCCTAGTGGTGGTTGAACGTATTTGTTTTGAAGTTCATGGGAAGTTGACCTTAGGCCAGGAAGTGGTAGTTCACCCTGACGGCAAGAAGTAGCTGTTCGTTGTAACGACGACGTTGAAGTAGATCCCACAGAGCAAAGAAATATATGCCTGTAAGTTTATTGTTTATGTCAATTTACTGGTGTTATATGTGCTTTTTTACGGACCAAGATGTCTGCTTTGTACAGAATAGAATACCGCGACTGTTAAGCTAATGTAAGTTAGCGCGTCTATGTGGTTTTCTATTTTAAGTTAGCATTAAGCTAGTGCAATGTGTTATCACTATCTTAAAGAAAACAGACATGATTTCTGGTCCAAGCATCTAATGCGTTTGTTTGTACTGTTATGTGTTTACAGTTTTCCAGTTTTCCAAATTGGATGCAATAAACGAGGTTTGAAGCCACAAATCTTTGCCTTCGGTTTGGGACTGTTTAACTACCTGCTAAACTAGACACGGACGTTTAGGGAGGGCAGAATATATTCAGAATTAGCCAAAGCTGCGTTTCACTGGAGTCTGTGGAAATGTACTGTTCACCTGGTACTTGAAATACTCTTAGGCTAGTGGGCCATTTGAATCGCAGTCATCTGATGGACCCAAACATAGTCTCAACAGTGATATCATTCCACTTCTATTTGCGCCAGGATTATGTAACCCCACCCCACCCTACCCCAACCCTGTCTGTAGCTCAGCAGGCAACACAAATACAGACTTAAATTTCACTTCACTCATTTAAAGCCCACTCTTAAGAACTGCAGTCAATAGTCTGTGCCCACCAGTGTAGGTCAACCCATCCCTTCTGTTGGATAAGTTAAGGACGAGAACTCAGACACCTCTCTGTAACTAATGTGTGTGGAGTCAAAGAAGAAGTGTTAGAGTCAAAGAGGAAGTGTTAGAAAGTGCAACAACACAGGACAATGCTTATTGGACCCTAGATAAACAGTAACTTAATGGCTGCAGAAAATAAAGCCTACATAGAGAAATCAAGGACACTTGACTCACTTTCTTTCAAGAAATCACCACAGTGCCTGAAAACATCATTTTAGGGAACTCAAAAGGCGTCATATACTGCACAGTCCTTTGTACACAGTTTAAGGGTCATTCTAATTTATTATAACTTGAGTCTTATTTTTGTAGTTTTGGTTATTATTGCTGAAATCTGGAACACTGCTAAGTTCAGGTTGATCACAACCACAAACCTTTGGTAATAATCCTGCAGTTTACAGTTATTTAGTCTTCCAGATAAGTCACCTGGGGGTTTAACCTGAATTATTCTGTACCCTTTCACCAAAAGGCAGACTGAACACGTGCCTCAAGTTCTTATCACTGCTGGATAAAAGCATTTGTAAAACATTCCATTTCAAAAGATCACTTGCCTGTGAGCTTGATTAAAGCAGTAAAAAAAAAGCATTAACAAATAAAACATAATGAGGCCAAGTGTTTGGATAATACACAACCTGACGTCAATAAGTTACTGAGCAGATTCCACACATGAACTGAAAACCAAGTTTGTTGATGCAAACCACATCTACAGTACTGAGCATGTTACTCACGTGTTTTGAAAGATGTCAGCTGCAGAAGTTGTGACAGCTTTTCTCTCAGCGTTCTACAGAACGGAGAAAAACTGGACACAAGGTCACGGCCGAACTCATCAACGGCTATCAAAGCTTGAAAAAAAGGCGTCAACTGTCTCACATCAATGGGAAATCAAAGAAATTCTGAGCACATATTGACCAGCTCTTAGAAACAGTCTGTCTGTGCTGAGCAGCATGCACAAACCCACACTGACATTCTCTGTCACTCCCCCTCCTCCTGTGAATGAGTGCACAAAAGAGCTTCACAGTCTAGTGGAGGAGTCTGCCTTTAAGTCCTCTGACTCCTCAGAGGAGAGTGAACTGGGCAAGTGAGAAAAGCTCCCGTAGTAATTGAAGAACAATGTGGTGAAGTAGTATAAAGTGCAGGTTTGAGACCGAATGGGCTGAGCTATGGAAAAAATGGCTAAACCTGCTTGAAAACCATGTTGGAATATATTGGAAAAGTAATCTTTTGGATGCTTTTCCTACAGCCAAGTCCCCATCTTAATGATTAATGAATTCAGATTCTCTGACACATTTGTTCCTCACAGAGCTGCAGCTTGTGTAATGACTGCTAGCATCAGGCTAGAACTTGACATGGATCAGGGTAGGCTGATGTGAGGGTCAGGTGAGAGACAAGATCGGCTCGATAAAATTTTATTTCAGCCAGACAACCTTTTATGAAAGAAATGTCCATTTATATCAAGTTCTAGATTTGATGCGAAAGACCCTGTGTTTAAAGAAAGTTTCAAAAAATGACTATGATGTAAAACCTTTATGAGCATGGCTGAATGTTACTAACTGGCTGGGAGCTTCAACTGTATTAGTTTAGTCATTGTAAACTTACACTTTCTTCTATGCTCCCTCTCGGTCCACGCATGCACGATGGCATGAGATCCTAAGCGGATGTGTATTCAACACTGCTGTGGCTGTGCTCATTTACATCATCAGTGTTGGCAAATATGGCACTAAATTGAAAAACTGCAGTGCCACAGTATTCTGTGCATCTCTTAGTAAATTTGCATGGCATTACTATAAAACCAGCCTTCCCGTTAAATAATTTAAAAAATAGCTGCAATGTGAAATTTTAGCTGCAACCATTTAGCATGATCTATCAAAGCACTGTGCTGGTCACACAAGTCCACAGTCTTGGGACAGTATAATACTTGTAAAGTGATTGTTTACCTTGGCATTGCTAAGTCAGAGGATAAAATAGTTTGCACTGAGTTGTAAGAATCTGTCATATAGCATTATAAACAAGAGTACTTTGTTTTGACATGTGATCAGATCTGTGGAATGCTACTCACACTGGAGTTACTGTGGTATTTCAGTCCAATGACAGCCCTAAACAGATTCATGGACTCTACAGAGACCGCTGTGGAAGACTGGATTGGTGCTTTCAATTCTTTAAGATGAAAAATGTGACAGTAAAGGTCGATGGATAACATATGATGGTGAGGTGTCACCCACTAAAAAGCAACAGGTGCATACTTGAGACCAAATGACTTCTTTGACAACTACACATTTGATCCCTAGACATGGTAACCGCTCATAAATTTTGCTAAGTGTTACAGTATGATGTTTTTGAATATTTACCTGTTTCTGTTTATGTGAGGTGCAGCCATGACAAAAATTCCTGTGCTGAAGCAGAGCCACAACAGCTGTAGCTGTTTTTATGAAATAAACAGTGAAAGTCAACATCAATCTTTGGAAACCAACGTCCCATTTAGACAGGGCTTACCCAGTGTTGATCCCGGCAAAACACTGGCTCTATAATTTGAAGCTTTATGCAACGCCTTGATAAGCAGGACTAGATGCAAGTAGCCTTGTGCTTTCCTTAGAAAAGCAACTGAAGTTCTAACAAACTGCAAACCCTACTACAACAACAACAACACTTTTTAAAAACCATCACTTGAGAAGAAATACGCCCTCTCCCATTTTCCCTCCTGGCTCTAAAAGCCACTCTGTGAGAGGACTACAGTAATTGCCTTTTCAGTGCTCACATGTGTGAAGCCAAATGACAGTGGAAACACTGGCGTTTCCAGGAAACCCTTTCAGAGAGGGAACATTTTGAACAGTTTCTTTAAATGCTCCTTACAGGCTGAGCTTATTTAAAATACAGTATGCATCAGCCTGACTGTGGTGGCTGATTAAAGTCATTGCACAAAAGGCTATTATGGGACACGTTTGAAGTCTTATCGACTCCTCCAAGTCTCAAGTAGCTAAGTAAGAGCTTGTGATTGTGGCTGTTTGTGTGCAGTTCTGCATATGTGCACTTGCTTGTGTTTGTCCTGTTTTGCTGTTCATGGCTAAAGTTGAAATTGTGTGTATGTACTTTACATGTACGTGTGTGCATGATGTCATTACAGCTAAATTCAGATTTGACCACAGTATCATTATCAGATGACCAGAAGGCAAGATGGGGCAGGCACAAGTTGGACCGGGCACAAACAAGCACACACACATACACAAGCTCACCTCCACTGAAACAGAATTAGAGGAGACTTACACCTATTCTATTTTAGCAAGGCCTATTTCCAGCTGGCCTGGGGTCGACACCCTACGGTCACTGATAGAAGGTAGCCAAGTAACCTCTGACCTTTGACTATCTGGGAGGCCAATAAAAACTAACTATACTGCAAGCATCCTTCTTAAAAAAAAGTCCATTTGCTATTTTGTAAATGGCCTTTTTCATTACTGACACTTTTGACATCATAAAAATAGTAAATTGCAACGTTGTAATTGTCACTTGTTCATTTGATCAGTTGTTTTCTGAACTGCATCCTTAGTACAGCATGACAGACATGAATTTTTAACAGTTTGTTTCTTTTACTACATTCCAGTTCTTCATGTGCATCAGTGATGGTGCTACTAATTTGTTAACTTGAGGAGATCAAGGTACCACATGCTCCTTTACACTTCCATTTGATTACAATTCTAAGGGAAATACTGTACTTTGCATGTGTTACTAGTTACTTTTAAAATGTAGATTGAAAACCATCGCTTCATAAACTAAGATGCATCACTAGGGATTTAAATACCAGGTGATGTCAACAGGTGACTGCATCATGATTTGGTACAACAGTGGCATCCAGGAAAGGCAGAGCCTTTTAGGAGCGAAGATGGGCCGAGGCCCGCCAGTTTGCCAACATAAGTGTGAGAAAATTACTTAAATGTCTAAAAAGAAAGATAGGAGCCATCCCCGGTAGGCTAGTGGTTAAGGCGCAGCGCTCTCGCCGCTGTGGCCCGGGCTCAAATCAGGGTTGTGTCAGGAAGGGCATCCGGCGTAAAACACGTGCTAAATGTCAACATGCAAGTCATCAGTGGGACGATTCGCTGTGGCGACCCCTAAGCAGGAAAAGCCGAAAATGACTTTCTTTCTAAAAAGAAAGATAGGAGGAATTTGGATATGTCGCCCTCTTTGGTGCATAACGTTATTAAAAGATTCAAGGAAATTGGAGTGATTTCAGTGTGTAAAAGGCCAAGCCTAAGCTGGATGACCGAGCTCTCTGATCCCTCAGACACCGCCGCATCAAGAATTGTCACTCTGCTATAAGCGATATAATCACATGGGCTCATGATGACTGGCTTACCTGTGTCAGGTGCTACATGAAACTGCAAAATGTTGGATTATGCAGAAAATGTATTATGTCATTACATTTATATTATCTGTACATAATGAGTTACACATGAACAGAGGATACATATTTACATTTACCTTTTAATACTTTCCCTTTCATTTATTGCATAACCAAGATAGATTCCTCTTAAAACTATATCAAATGTTTATCTGTAAGAAACAGTAGGAAAGTCATTCCAGTGATTTTTTGAACACATCCTTTTGAAGACAAAACATTGCTATCTATTGCTAAGGGTGTAGCATTGCTTCCTTTTTTGGGTGGCAGAGAAAGTAGCACTTTGGCCACAGAATGACCACCTCTCCCTCAACAGGAAGGCTCTGTCCATGCCTGTGGGTGAACACAGGAATGTCCCACACTGTGCTCTAGAAAGCAACAGAGTGAGGTCCCACAAGGCCTCTGGCTTCTCTGTGGCCATAATTTGATTTGATTTATTTATTCTTTCAAGCATGTAAAGACAGTTGATATGTCAACACACATAATTTTACACATATCCAATAACAATTTGCTTATACCTAGTACATGCTTGAATGGAGTAGGAAGAAGTCAGACTTATCCAGTCCTACCCCATGACATCATCTTACCATCATTGGTTTGCAAGCAGTATCTCTACATAGATAATTCTCTTCTACACCACACAAGTAATATACTAAAGTAAAGAATTATTACATAGTGTTAACATTCTTACATAATTACATACTTTGATAATTATCTTCTACACCACACAGTAATATACTAAAGAATTGTTAGAGTATTAACATTCATACACCACAAACCATAAACCTGGAGTGGTGAACAACTTCAGGCTAATTTTGCCAACCTCCTGCCGGGGCCATCAGTCTGCCGTCTTGTCTGCAACTAGGTTCTCTGATTTATTTTTACCTTTGGACAGAGCCCGGCTAAATGTTCTCACCTGTTTACTGTCGTACTGTTTAAGTTAGCTGGCCACTGGTGGCAACTTTATATTTAGCATACATACTTGAGAGTAATAGAATCTACTTATCTAACTCTTTGCAACAAAGCAAATAAGAGTTTAATTTATCCCAAAAACTGAACTACTGTTGAGATTGCTGCATATATTAATATAAACAAATTTGGGTATGTTGAAGAAAGCATTTAAGAACACTAGACAAGTACAAAATACTTTATATTTCACTTAAATGAAATATGGTCTTCATTTTAACTGTGGGATAGACCCTCTTGTGGTAATTATATAAAAGTATTACAGACTGACAATTGTCTACATGTACAAAACCCTCCAAAAATAAATAGGAGTGCAGCCTTCATACCTGTCACATATCCATCCCTTGTTGCTCATTGGCCGCTTGCAGTTGCTGCAGTTGATGTGGAGTGTTGTGGACGCCTGGTTCAGGCAGGTGATGGCGCTGCACGTACTCAGCTTGATGACCTCATTGGACACGTTCCACAACTCGAATCGCTGCAGTAGGTCTATGTAGGACATGTACCAGTGCTCCTGAAATGAAAACAATACGTTCAAGGTTTCCTGTCTTCCAACCTGAAACTTCGTAACTGAATTTTAAGATTGTGTTAGTAATGAACGGCCTAAAGTATCCTGGAACTCTGCATCCACATGAATGACAGTCAATAAAGTTACATTTGACCTTAAAATGCTGGAGATTTGTTCAGGAAACCATCCTAACTTGTATTTACAATCACCATGAAGTCATTAAGTCATTCTTTTGACCAAAATAAGCATTTTCTGTGCCTAACAAACTTTTAATTACTTTTAATTACTGCCTCTGCTAACAGTTAAATTGTAGTCCATGAAGAGATTCAAATGCAAACGCTGCAGCAGTAAGCAAGCCAGTGTTTGTTATTTCCAGCTGACCTGAGTGAGGTCATCGATCTCTTTACGAATCCGTTCCCCCAGGACGATAAGCACAGACACAGCCATCTGCACATCGCCCTGCTCTGCGTAGTAGCTCAGCATCTCCCGCGCAATGGGACAGAAAAAGCTCCCGGGCAGGTGGGGGCTGTACAGTGGTTGGGAAATGGAGATGAGAGAAAAGGACTCAATGGGTGTCAGACAAGTGACTTCTGCCTCGTTGCCGCTGACATGTGGCGAGTCGGCCTTGTCCTGCTGTAGGAGCTCTGGAGCTACCATCACCATCACTATCACTAGATGTTTTGTTACCACATTTATTCACTATCTCTATAATTTCCTTTTCAACTATGGGCTTCAAAAACATAGAACTCATCATGTTCCTTTTGATTGTATTATTATTTATAGTGACGGATGTATCATCTGTACAAATGCTTCTTGCTAAACCAGGACCAACATTCACAAAGAACCTATTAAACTTATCTACTGCATCCTCCATTTCACCACAAATGAATTCAGCGGTATCGATGTCTCTCCTCCCTTTCAAAACACCATTTACCACTTACATCTAGGACAGCATAAAATCTCTTGATGCAGATTTAGGATGATTTGTGATACTTTTCAGTACCAGAATGAGTACACAACTGCTACCTTGTATTTTGTCTCATAAACATTCTAGTTTGAACTTAAACGTGACCTTAGTCTGACCACGTCATGCCGGAGTTTTAAAGAAATGAAAGAGTGAAAAAAGTCTTTTAACTCCATTAGGGCACAGGCTGAATTTCTCTTGTGTCATGCAGAAAGACAAAAACACCCTTGGTGCGCACACAGCATGGTTACACACTGGTTGTGTGGGTGGGCGTGTGTAAGCGAGTGAGAAAGACCCAAACTGGAATAAAATCCTAACTCCATCTCAACCACATTAAAGTGCATTTCCACAGTCACATGTACAGTTTGTGTAACATACATGTGTGCTTGTGATGTGTGGTTTGTTACATGAATCTGACAGTTTACTTACTGTAAGAAACACAACTTGTGGGGAAATGGTTGTATATTAATCTAGGTGGCCAAAGGGCCATTGCTATAAAGAGCCAGTGTAATTAGCACCTTGTTAACAACATACATAAGGAGGCAGAAGGAGTTTGGCCTTCTTTGTGGGTTTTTTCCTATGCGCTGGTCTTTGTGTGTGATCTGAGTTTTGCTATGTGTGCAAAAGGTTTGACGACCAACCACTCTTCACTGTTAATCACAAGTGAAAGTAAAATATCTCATCAGAGACATTACATCCACAGCTGTTGTGAGTGTATACTGTACATTATGCTGTAACTCCACTGAGTAAGGCTCTACCCAGTTAAATAGGCAGGACAATACAAAATACCACCTGCTCTTCTACTTTACTCACCATCTGTGGTGTCCTGAGAAAGCTGATTGAAGTTTTCATAGGAGTCCCAACGGATCAGGGGATCCTGTGTGTTGTAGTCAACCGAGACGCTCGGCCCATTCTCCAGGTGGTCCATACCTTGACCCGAAGTGCAAAGAGGCAGAGCAGAAAATGTGAATGTCTTTACATCACAAACAGTTAGAAAGGGGTCACTTTCAGAAAATGAGTGAAGAACCTGTAGTGATCTCCTTTAACTAAGACCTCATTTAACTTCATCAAACTTAAAATTATCTAATTTATTTTTAGTTTCATTTCATTCCTTTTGATTAATTTATAACAGATTTAGGTTTTACATTTAAAAAACTGTTAAAGAAGGTGCAGGCATCCCCCTGAAACACCCTTGGCTGGAATCTGGACAGGGATCTTTATTCCTCCTTTTTTTTTACTTTCTCCTCAATATTTACTGTCTGCCTCTTTATTATATTCTATAAATTAAAGGAAAAAATGCCCTAAAATTAAGTATGACGGTAAAGTATAATGTGGAAAATGCTTATATGGACCCATAAAACCCGACACATTGATTCTTACCATGTATTTTCTCTGGCCCAAAAGAGAAAATAAACTCCACTTTTCCATATTCTGGAAATCTGTCATCTGCACACAGAAAATACACAACCTGAGTTTTCTGGTCATTAAAATAGTCAAAAAATAGAAGCAGATTAAAATGCAATAGAATTCTTGAACTCAGTATATACAGTGAAGTAGTATTTCCAGAGCTCCAGATTTTACTCATTAGCAACTCCTATTTAAAAATCTGATTGTTTACACACAGACAATAATGGCAGCCAAAGCAGAGACTCAGAGGAACCTGTTTGTTCCCAAACCTCTTACCCTTGAATGTCTCATCAAGCTCATCCTTCCCAAAGACAATCCCCAGATCATGAACAGCGCAGGTGTGAAACTGTACCCGGAATATCACATCTCGGCATGGGCTACGGTAGCGCTTGTGGTAACACTTGAGCTGGAGGGTGAAAACCATCGGAAGAATTTCAAATGTAGTAGCAACAGTGCATCAAGCAGTGCATGCACAACACAACAGGTCAGTTCAGTTGGACTGGAAAGCAGCTGGATACATGCTTTTTGAGCTCCAAAAGTGAAAACGCTTTTATACAATGTATCAGTTCTGATGACAGACTGCAAAGTAACTTCACTTCTAAAGCTATGATCAATACTTTAGTGCTGATACACCCAGAATATCAAGTGAGATGAAATAAACACAGTGAAGCACAAGCCAGAGAGCTGTCAAGTTGGTTCACTGATGGTTCTTTCACCACTTTGGCTTAGAGCTAGAAAAAGCATTTAAAACTTATATACTGTATTCTCAAAGTCAAAGTCAAAGAAACTTTAATTATCCCCGAGGATAATTAAAAGTGCACAACAGCTTTAGAGGCAACACTGAAACCAGGCATAGGAAAATCTTCTCTCTCCCTTCTGCTTTCCCCTCATGGGAAGCCCAGGGTTTTACAAGGGCCTCACATATACAGGTAGTGGAAGAATATTTACAGTGGGTACAGAAAGTATTCAGACCCCCTTAAATTTTTCACTCTTTGTTATATTGCAGCCATATGCTAAAATCATTTAAGTTCATTTTTTTCCTCATTAATGTACACACAGCACCCCATATTGACAGAAAAACACAGAATGTTTGACATTTTTGCAGATTTATTAAAAAAGAAAAACTGAAATATCACATGGTCATAAGTATTCAGACCCTTTGCT